CATACCACAGAAGACTGTAATCTGCGTATTTACCGTCGTGACAACCTCAAATCTCACACAGTGTCCTGGCTCGGTAAACATGTTTTGAAGTAATATTTTTACATGTCTAGCCTTGCTTTCGAGAGCATGGTAGTCCCAAACATAACAAGCGACAGCTATAGACATATTCCTTACCGAAGAGCAGAACATGGTACAAGCGGCGAAAGGAGAAGAAGGATAGCAAACCCGTTTTTCATTTAAGACGTTTAGTTTTGTGACAGTGTCTGATTGCCTTGTCGGCAGAATGGAGGAAACGCAAAAAATTAGAAGGTTGCAGATTGAAAATTTCGATTAATGAGTGGGGGGACAGGGGCACTCAGAAAAAAAAAGGGATGTAGCAAGGGTGACGCTACTTTGGCCCTGTGGAAATCTTAATTGAAATTCATTTTGGAGATCAATGGGGGAAATAGCACTAAAACATGTTTGCGATTTACATCAGTAAAGTCACGTTATAGAAACCCAGTCGCCGCCTTGAATTCAGATTTGACTTTGCTTAGAAGTGACACTTGTACATAATGGGCGATGCATCTGGGGTGCTACACTCACCGACGTAACTCTTTCTTGTAAAGACATTGACGGCCGTAACTGTATAGGGGAATGTCATGTCACTTTTATTTTAATTTTGACTCAGTAACTGCTAATCTTCACAGTTAGTTATCACAGATATACAGCTCCAAATATAAAGGAACACGTGTAGTAAGTAATTCATAATAAAATTTTACTCGACATTTTGGTGCTTTAAACCATGATCAATTAATATTCTAATTAAAAGCACTGCGGAATATATTGGCACCTGTACTTGTATTGTGCGACATTTTAATAAATGATCTTTCCAAGCGTACCAATATTAATTTCCTGACTATTCACCAATATCCAATTATTTCATGAATAACTACTCCTACACTCTTTCACGCCTCATTTTCATCACACATGTCCTGTGATCCCCCGAGAAATTTTACGCTTTATCGACAAACTGAACTGTATGGGCATCCTTCAGTAACCGGTGTCATAAGGCTAATTATTACCATATAGAAGATAACTTATTTTTACAAAACAATGAAATTAATATCATATTTGATTCAGTCAGTTACGAAAGAGGCAGGAGGATTCCTCTGGGGCAACGAGAACGGAGCGTGAAGGTGACTACTCGGCTCCATTTAATCATCATCATCATCAGTAATCTGTCAAGACGACAGGTCCACAGTCTCTTTCAAAACAATTCCTCCACTTAATGCGATCTAGAGCTTTCTCCTTCAAATGACAGTATCCTCTTCTGTCCCCAAGGTCATCCAGCATCTTCTTACGTCTTCTTCCTCGTCTTCTTGTCACTTCTATCCGCCCATCTATCTTTCCTTCGATAGCTTCTTTTAGAAGGCAGTTTCTGCGTAAAACATGACCAATCCAATTAGCCTTCCGTTTTCTTATTTCATGTAGGATATTCCTCTGCTCACTGACTCTAATTAACACTTCTTCATTTCTCACATAATCGGTCCAACTGATCTTCTCCATTCTTCTCCAACACCACATTTCGAAACTTTCCAGATGTTTCTGATCTACTGCCCTAAGTGTCCATGTTTCAGCCCCATACAGAGCTATGCTCCAAATGTAGCATTTCACTAGTTTCTTCCTCAAATTTAAGTCCAATTTGCTGGTAAAAAGATTCTTCTTCTTGCTAAATGCAGCTTTTGCCATGGCAATCCTGGATTTAATTTCACAAGTACACCTTCCATCATCTGTTAACAAGCTACCCAAATATTTAAAACATTTCACATTCTCCACTTGTTTTTGGTCTATCTTTATTGTGACTGGGGTTGGTTGTCTCGAAATTTTCATTACTTTTGTTTTCTCCACATTCATTTCCATGCCATAGCACCTTCCAATTTCAATTAGTCTATCAATCATGCCCTGTAGCACAGTTTCTTCCTTAGCCATTAACACAAGGTCATCTGCATATTTCACAGTTTGAATAATTTGCCCTCCTACTTTGAAGTCACCGAGCCCATCCAGAGCTTCCTTGGTAAGGCATTCGCTGTACAAGTTGAACAGAATTGGTGATAAACAGCATCCTTGTCGAACTCCTCTTCCAATCTGCACACTTCCTGTCTCCCCCCTGTCCAGTCGTACTCTAACTTTCTGATCCATGTACAATTTGCTAATCAATCTTCTTTCATGCCAATCGATACCTGTTTCTTTCAGGATCTGCATTAATTTGGTCCAGTTTACCCGGTCAAATGCCTTCTGCCAGTCTATGAAGCAAACACACAGTTCTTCATCTATCTCCAAAGTTCGTTCCGCTATAATTCTCATCATCCCAATTGCATCCCTGGTTCCTTTTCCTCTTCTAAATCCAAACTGATCTTCTCCAAGTACATCCTCTATTTTCCTTTCAATTCTTCTTTTAAGTATCTTTGCTATTATCTTTGCTGTATGTGCAATAAGACTTATTGTGCGATGGTCGCTGCATTTTGTAGCTTTTGTCTTTTTCTTTAAGGCAATCATTGTAACTTCTGTAAAGTCCTTGGGCCACTCTCCACTTTCATATATGGTGTTCATTAGTTTTGTCAGTGTTTTCAAACCACCTTCTCCCAGTAACTTGAGCACATCTCCAGGTACATCATCATCTCCTGTAGCCTTTCCCTTCCTCATTTCCTTGATAGCTTTTTCCACCTCACTTTGTAAAATATATGGTCCTTTCTCGTCTGTATCTACTTCTTCTTCCGGTTCAACTTCTAAGGTTTCTGGCCGATTAGGTCGATCATATAGTTCTGAAATATAATTTTCCCAAATTTTCAGCACTTGCCTCTGATCTACTATTCTATTCCCCTGGGAGTCTTCGATGCCAACATTTTGAATCCCATGATTCTCTTTCCATCCTAGTTCTTTTGTCTTCATGTACATCAAATCATAACGGCCTGTTCTTTGAAATTCCATAATCTCATTACATATCTTCTCAAGATATTCCTTTTTGGCCCTGTCCGTGGCTCTTTTCAATTCATTCCTCAGTCTCCTGTATTTCCTCCTGCCTTCTTCATTGTTGACATTCTTCCATTTCCTTCGCTCCTCCATTTTACTCATCATCTCCTGTGTAACCCATGGTTTTCTTGCTATCTTCTCAACTTTACCTACCAAATCACTGATAGTATCTAACATGCATTCTTTTATATCGTTCCACTGCGCTTCAGCATTTCCGCTTTCACCTTCAATTGCACCGAGTTTCTCTTCTAGAGTCTCTTGCACGCTTTGTCTTTGAGCATATAACTTCTCCAAATCCCATCTGGGTCTGCGCTTTCGAAATCCTATAATTTTCTTCAACCTGGTTCGGAACTTGGCAACCAGCAAGTTGTGGTCAGAGTCAATGTCTGCCCCAGGAAGCGTCTTCACATCCTTCACACTGTTTCTGAATCGATGTTTCACAAGGATGTAGTCCAGCTGATGCCTCTTCCAATCCCCAGGTGCCTTCCATGTGTAAATTCTTCTCTTTGGCTTCTTGAACCAAGTGTTGGTAACAATCAATCCATTTCGTTCACAAAAGTCAATAAGCATTTGACCTCTGTGATTCCGTCTTCCTAGTCCATGTGATCCAACAATATTCTGATATGGTTCATCTCCAACAATGCTGTTCCAGTCTCCCAATATGATGCTGTTTGTGTCTCCTCTTCCATCTTCCTGAAGAATTTCTTCAATTGTGTCATACACTTTTTCCACTTCATCATCTTCATACTCTGATGTTGGCATGTACACTTGTATAATCAGTATATCTACCGGTTCCGCCTTTAACTTCAGAGCAATAATTCTGTCATTACAAGCAATCTTCTTAACAACACTCCTCACTACACTTTTATGCACCACTATTGCCACACCTCTTTCAGCCCGTTCACCTCCGGAATAATACACTGTATAATCACCGCTTCTTATTTCACCTTGTCCTTTCCACCGCACTTCGCTGACACCTAGAACAGACACTTCATTCTTCTGCATTTCCGTTTTCAAATTCTCCAATTTTCCTGCTTGATTCAAGGTCCTGACATTCCATGTTCCAATCTTGTATCCATGCTGTTTCTTCTGATCTTCGCACTTTTTCTTGTTGTAACGCCTGCATGACATTTCCTCTAGAAACGCTCCTCCCCGGAGATCCGATTGGGGGAGTAGTTTACCTCCGGATTGTTTTACCTCCAAAGGAAACATCTCGCATATATGGTATCTCTGTTTTTGGAAAGAGACTATCCAGGAAAAGTGATAATGTGGTAGTTTTTCCATTTGCTTTCCACATCGCAGTACAACAGCCGTTCAAACCACTCTGGTCACGCCTGTTGCTATACGAACTTGAACCATCTCGAGCTTCATTTGCTCTGTGCTTCAAGTCGCTACTGATGACGCTGCTTCCGGCATCAGTTTTTGGTGTCTCTCTTCGTCTGATGCCTACCCTTTGACCTGTCCCGCAAGGGAGGCCCTGCCAGTAGCTATGCTACCGCTGGTGTAGCTCTCAGGGTCCTTGGCATACTCAAACCCCCTCACCACGATAAGGTGGAGACACCAACATCGAAGATAAAATGCACGGATTCTTTCTTCCACTTCCCCATACATTTTCATGGTAGGGTTAAGAATTTTTTCTTCTGCACGCCGTCCAAACCGACTCTAGGGTTCACCCAACCTCCTATCCAATGGCTATTATGGGCTTTACCTCGGAGGTAAAGCGGCCAGGGCATGAAGACCACTTATCTTCAAGTAGCGGCGAGGTCAAGAAAATATGGATCTATACATCCACTCCCAACTATACCTTCATGGCGTAGTGCTTAATCAGTTAAGCACAGGAACAACTTTACCTTTTACCTTACAGGATTTGTGTTCCTTCTTTTAACTCCTTTAGGAAAGATTTCGCTTTCATACGGTACAAACAGAACAGAAAGACTAATGTTTAATAGAGGAGTTTAGCTCAGGTTGGCTGTCTATTAAGAACTCACCGAAAACGATGACGAAAGTCATCTTGATGGTCTTGACTTTGGCTTTGGGTATGATGCCCCTGGAACTGGCTCTCCGGCTGTCGTGGTCCTCCTGCTGGAGCTGTTGAAGTCGTAACATCCGATGCTTGCCGCTTGTGCGAACATAGCTGCTGCTGCTGCCACTGCCACTGCCACTGTCTGCAACAGCAGAAAACTTGGTCATAGCCACGCGACAAATTCATGGCCAGGCAAAGAGCCTTCATTTCTCATGTTTCGGTCAAACGAAAGGCCAATAAGAAACAAGCACAAATAAAAAAGTAAATATAATCCTAAAATTACATCCGAACATGACTGATATAATTATTGCGATTACAGATTTTATTTGTTTTTTGTTTATTTTGTTCTGAATGGGTGTGAAACTTGGCCTCTGACGTTAAGGAAGGAACATAGATTGAGGGTGTTGAGCAGAATATTTGGACCGAAAAGAGATGAAGTGACAGGAGGTTGGAGAAAACTGCATAATGAGGAGCTTCATAACGTGTACTCTTCTCCAAGTATAATAATAATATTATGTTATTATAGTTGAGCATCCTGTTACACTCGCACAATATATGTAAGATAAACACCGTCTTAAGTGTAACAATTTAATTTAGTTCTTTCTTCTTTCCCCTCACTCCACACTACATGTTTCGGCCCTAAATGGCCATCATCAGGTGTGTATTCTTACTTAGCTGTTACACTGCTTGTTAAAATTTAAAATCACCAGTCTTTGTAATTGTATAAAATGTTTGTTAACCTACACACGTTAATTTTGATTTCTAATTAGCACTTTTTTAAAACTTTAATTCAAGTTAAAATATCTATAAAATTTCTATAAAATTTCTGTTCTTTTCCTTTTTCAAATTTTAAAATTAAAATTTTCCTCAGGGTACATGCCCTATGTCTAAGTGCTGCAGCGGCCACTTCTTGTTTATCGTTCTTCAGGTATTGTTCTGTGTAGGCTCTCTCTGTGTGTGTCGCTG